ATATATATTAAAAAAATTAAAATACTAGGATGAATAATAAAAAAACTAAGTGTATAATAAATTAATAAAAAAATTAAAATTATTTAAATAATTTCAAATCATTTTCACATTTAAAATATCAGGTACCCTTTACTCTTCTTTTGTTATATTTAATAAAATAAAACGTAGACATTGACTACTAAATCACATGACTCTTATTTATGTAGAAAAGTTGTAAGATGACGGTCTGAGTATTAAATTCGAAATAAGCCCAAGTGGGTTTATTTATCCTATAATGCACGCCTGGGAAGGGAGACAAGACACTCAAATCATCACTTCCATCATGAATCTGTAAGAAATCGAAGCCGTTGATTTCTTCTGTCCAGGATCAACAGGTCATACCGCGAAACACTGAATCTCCCTTCCCTGCCCCTGCTCGTACTGCAGGGAAAACTTTTCCACGACGACCAGCCGTCCCCTGTAAGCAGTATCCTGGTGCGTGTGTGTGAGATTCTGCTTCCATACAAAGAAAGCCAGAGATCTTATTCATGTTGCAGGGAAAGAGTTTCTCCGTCTGATTCCTCTCTCTGCGACTGCTTCAGGTTTAGTGAGGGAGTCCAAGGGATGGCGGGTGGTTTTAGAGACAAAAGGCAGCCGTTTCGCTTTTCTTCGATTGCCATTGCCATTTTGATCGGAATTTCTCTTGCTTGCGTCTTCGCTTTCTTCTTCCCACACGGCCTCTTCAGCTCCAGTCTCTCTGTCCAAAGTCGTCGAATTGGGAAATCCATTCTCCGGGTTAGTTTTTTCCTTTCTTTTATAGTCATTTGTATAAATCTTGATCTTTCAATGTTTTCCTCTACTTTGAATCTTCTTGGTTTGGGTTTGATTGGTCCTATTGTTAGTATTAATTTATTTAGAATTAAATTCAATGTGTTTTGGTTTTCTTTGGAAATTTGATGGCTTTAGTCTTGTCTAACCTTTGTTTTGAGGATTCAAGGAAATCTTGAAATCGTTTTATTTTTTTTTAATTTCGATGTTAATGTTTTAGACCCAATAAAACTTTGAGAATCTCTGCCTACAGAACTGAGATTGAGCTGCAATGCTGTAGATGGTCCATAATATGGTAATATAATGTGAAAACAGTGCTGGTTGATGATGTACTAAAACTGATCTTGCAGTTTTGCTCTTGATACCATCTTCCATTTTTGCTCATCATGTTGCCTTAGAGAAGCACAGCTTGAGCTCAGAGTGGGAAAACTTAGGTATACTCCTGTAGCATATATAGGGTCACTGTGGAATATAATGTGCTAAGAATAGATAACTGTGTTGTTGGGGTATTGGTTTGTTCTTGGAAGGGTATGTAAAGGACCATGAACCTCAAAGTTGCCTAAATCAATTCATCTAGCTCGTGTTTAATTTGTATTTGATTTTTACTTTTAAGTGAATTCAACAATTCCAAGTCATAATTTGTATAATATGACTGTCAAGATCCTGTTTCTCTTGTCTTCTAGATTGGCCCTTCATGTGAGTCACCTGAGCGGATCAAGATGCTGAAATCTGAAATTGTTTCGCTATCAAATAAGAATTCGGAGTTGAAAAAGCAGGTAAGGGAGCTGACAGAGAAGCTAAGGCAAGCTGAACAGATGAAAGATAATGCACAGAAGCAGGTTTTGGTGTTGGGTGAACGGCACAAAGCTGGGCCCTTCGGCACAGTCAAGGGTTTAAGGACAAACCCTACTGTTGTTCCAGATGAATCTGTGAATCCAAGATTGGCGAAGATCTTGGAGAAAGTTACTGTTCAGAAAGAGGTTATAGTCGCACTTGCAAATTCAAATGTGAAGGAGTCGCTGCAGGTCTGGTTTTCTAACATCAAGAGAGTTGGTATACCCAATTACCTAGTTGTTGCATTAGATGACCAGATTGCAGAATTCTGCAAATCAAATGATGTTCCAGTGTACAAGAGAGATCCAGATGAGGATATTGACTCCATTGCTAGAACAGGAGGCAATCATGCTGTGTCTGCATTGAAGTTTGACATTTTAAGGGAGTTTTTGCAGTTGGGTTACAGTGTTCTTCTCTCTGATATTGATATAGTGTACTTGCAAAACCCATTTGACCATCTTTATCGGGATTCAGATGTAGAGTCCATGTCTGATGGTCACACCACTATGACAGCTTATGGTTTTAATGATGTCTTCGACGAACCTGCAATGGGTTGGGCTCGTTATGCTCATACTATGAGGATTTGGGTTTACAACTCTGGTTTCTTCTATATAAGACCTACAATTCCTGCAATTGAACTTTTGGATCGTGTGGCTCATCGGCTTGCTACGCAGGAAAACTTATGGGACCAAGCAGTTTTTAACGAGGAACTTTTTTACCCTTCACATCCTGGATATGATGGACTTCATGCTGCCAAAAGAACCATGGATATGTATCTGTTCATGAACAGCAAGGTCCTCTTCAAAACAGTAAGGAAAGATGCTAAACTAAAGAAGTTGAAGCCTGTTATTGTTCATGTAAATTACCACCCGGATAAACTTGCAAGAATGAAAGCAGTTGTAGAATTTTACGTCAATGGAAAGCAAGATGCACTTGATCGTTTCCCAGATGGCTCAAACTGGTAGAATGACAGGCTTTATCTCTCAGGCCCATCTTTGGACGCATCAAGAGAGCACTTGAGAGCAATGCGGGGTGTCTTTCTTTATCAACTCTTTATTTCCTATCCAGTTTTTGTCTTGTTTTGCTATTGAAACTCACGGGTCAAACTTCATTATAGCACTTGCATTTATACCTTAGCTCTTCCAAATGTATACGGACAAATCTTATCAATGCTTCATTTCCTTTTATGATAAAGATTTTGCTACTTCAGGGTCAATCTCTTGTATCAACAAAATAGCTTTCTCATGTTTGACTTACCATGAGCCTGTAAAGTTGGGATGAAGGCTGTCACCTGTCGATGGTGAAGCCATGAAGGTGGAAAATAGCAAAATGGCAATCAGTTTCTGCCGGTGCTTCTCCAGCTTTAGAAAGATTCAGAGTTTACCATTAACAGTATTGATTCTGATTCCTGAAATGAATGTTTGTGAATGGTTTTTCTTCTCTCAGGTAGATTAATTGTCACCAAGAGTTTTTCTGAAAAATTCCGCACAGTGACAAAAACCCAATTGTCACCCAACTTCCTCTGTTGGCTTTTTCTGTTCTTATCCACATACGAAAGGACTAGGTTCTTGTGGCTTCAATTTCTGCCCCAAATTTCACCCTAACCCCACAATGCCTTTTCTCCATCAATCAATTTTCACTTACGAATTGTTCTTCTTCATCAAAAACAATAGGAGACACGGCTGTTTTCCGTCTGCAATTTTTTTTTTTTTTGTGGGAATTTTGATCTCATTGTTACTGGTGTCGAGCTGTACAAGAATTCCCGCCAATTTCTAGATTCAAAATTTCCCCATAGTTAATCAAGATGCACAGGTTGTCCCAGAGAGAAAGTGTTGTTTACGGCTACAATAATTCCCCCAATACGCCGCAGGGAAACTCGGATTTCGATTTTAACGATGTGTTTGGGGGTCCACCACGGCGGTTCTCCATCCAGGAGTTGCGGCACAGTGAAAGCGCAGACTCTCATGCTTCCAGAAGAAATGATGAAACAGTTGCATTGGGAAAACTGTGGTCGGGTCTGAGCGAGAAGCCTGTGTTCGGTGAAGGGGGAGTGAATCGGAGTCGAAATTCAAGTGATAATTTCTTTGATGACATTTTTAATGGCAGCCAGCCTCTGTGTTCTTCCCCTAGGAAGTACGAGAGGGAACTCTTCTCTTCATCACCGGGTTTTCAAGTTTTGAGTCCGGCCAGGCCTCTGCCGCCAAAGGCCGAGCCTTTTGGGAGCTCACTTCCTGCTCAATTCAGGTTCTTCCTTTCACTCAACCATTCATTCTTATTTAGATCGTACTCCCATAATCTGTAATTTTACTTCTTGAACTACAATTTGGGTGTGATATTGATTCCATCTTCAACTATCTGATTGTTCAAACTGTTTCTCATCTTTCTCTTTTTTCTACTGATTTTAACTTCCCAGTCTTCCAGCCAAATTGAACAAGGGAATGGAGCTCCCAACATTTGGTTCTGCTACAGGTAGCAGAAACAAGGATGGCGGGTCAAATGGTTTGAGCTCTTATTTGTTTTCTCCTCTGTCTAGATCCTCAAGCCAAGCTGAAGACAGTCGGAACAAATTGAGAAATGGGAGTCAATCTTCTAGACGTCTCAGTGCTTTATCTCGGGAGCTGTCTCTTGGCAGTGAGGATTCACTGGAGTTGACAAAGCATGATGAAACAGAGACCAAAAGCAATTCAATGAAGGATTTAAATGATTCAGAACTTAACGGCAGCCAATTTCACTTTTCAATATACAAGTGGGCAAGCAAAGGAATCCCACTAGCCATGCCTCTTCGAGGAGGTAATGGTTCAAGATCAAAAGAAAAGGACAGGCCTGAGAGATGCTCCAGCCAGATTGCATGTGAAAGTATGGCAAATGGCTTACCTACAGCAGCAGCAGCAGCACATGATGCTGCATTGGTTTCAAATGATAGAATATCAGCGACAACAGAGCCTACAGGGATGGATAAAAGCACTGATAATAGAGAACCATGCCAGACCAACAAGGAAGCAATTCCTCCCACATCTGAATCACAGACCTCGAGCCCCCTTGGTAGTGCAGTAGATAATGCTAATGATGATATTGCCTTTTGCAAAAAAGGAGAAGAAACGACGCCTTGTTCCATTCCTGAGAGTAATAAGAGCAAAATTGTCAAAGAAAATTCTGCAGTCAAAGAGGAAGCTCATAAGCCTAAGACTCCTGAGCCCAAATCTCTTGGTTTGCCATTCTATGGTGATGATCAACAAGGTAAGTCTGTTTTACATCAGATGCATAGGTAACTGTTTTCTGTGTCTTATGAAGTTTTCTTGTATGCAGGTATTGTTAACAAAACTGAAAGGGCTGGAAGAAAACAAAGTGCAAATAATATCAAGAAACCATCTGTGATTCTTGATGCAGTTGAAAACTTGAAGAAAATTGATAGAAGAAGATATAGTTTTGACAGTGCAGAGGTGGGTAAAACAAGCATGCAAGGCTCCCCAAGGAATTCTGGAAACTTGGGGAAAAGCAAAGTCAGGGGAAAAGTTAAAGAATTTGTTAGAATGTTCAACCAGGATTCTTCATCAAAACCTACAATTGACAATGCCTCTAAGAATCAGAGCTCTAGATGGAAGGAAACAGGAACCGTCAAAGCAGACAATAAGGTAAATATTGGCATGAGTGAAAGAGTTAAGAAAATGCAGATGCCCAGCGTGAGAAAGGAAACATCCTCGCCAGATGTTTCTGTCATGGTACTCAACTAATATTCTTTCAACTTATTTCTTCTTTGTCACTCACATGTGCAAATTAGTTTTATTCTGTTGATGTTTTGCTAGATTTAAAAATATTTATGATCAATCAGGTGGATGATTATCTTGAAAAGACAGCAAAACGAGATTCTACCAGAAATGATCCCAAACATATTTGGAATGGTGCTCCTGTGCACGAGGATAGCACAGCAACAAAGGCCGGTTAGTTAGTTCATTTAAAATTTTTATTAAATGCCTCAATCAAGTTTGGTTTAGAGATGTTACTTTGTTCTGCACGGACAATCTGTCTTGTGAATTACGTATCAGGCCTAGAGAAACTTGGAATCCACAAGCTGATATTAAATGTTGTCTTAATATCATCCAGGATACTCATTGTTCCTTTCCATATCGCTGATAGAAATGCTACTCAATCTGTTTAAACTATCCATCTGCTAACCAAGTTTTAAAAACCAAAATATTCCACTTTGATAAATTTAATTTCACTTTGAAGTTGCAAAGTACTGTGAATGAGTAGAAAATCATTGTCTGGTTAAGCAATACTAACTAGACACATGGGTTTTTTGCCTTTTTTGGGGGTGAAATTTAGTTCCAAATGGCTCAAAAGCTGATTTTGGAGATCCAGATGAGTCCTTTGAGGAAAACGTTCTGGTATGTGATTTATCCATTCGAATAGTCTCTACTTTTCAGTGTCTGCACATCAAACTAAAACTTTAACTTGAATTTCGCATTTCTCCCCATACAATAGAAAAGGTGTTCTTTTACCTTTTCTATATTAGCTTAAGTTATAATTTTAACTGCACAGCTGACAAATGATGATCTGGTTTTCCTGCGCTTGTCCACAGATAAAAGAAATAATCCAAGATGAAATAAAAGTGCAGCAAAGCAGCATTGATCCTGAAGGAATGCAGGTAATATGGATTGCACCAAAAGAAAACATAGGGAAAACCCAATATTCTGTGTTTTCGATTTTACCTCTTGTTTTCAGAAAATGCAATTGTGCTACTTCATCTACTGCAGGTCATCGAATCTAAAATAAGGCAGTGGTCAAATGGAAAACTAGGAAACATTCGTTCACTATTGTCAACTTTACAATATGTAAGTCCAGAAGGATTCCCAGTATGCTATGTTTGTTCTTTTCATGGCCCAGAAGTTTTGTTATGCTTCAAGTTTAGTCCCACTGTGAGCACGTTTCCCCCCTCCTTAGGAGGGAAGAACTTTGGTTTGAATTTGGATATAGCATCAAGGGAGCTGGTTTTGGCTGGGCTAAGGGAATAGTCTTCATCATAAGAAACTTAGGAACTATGTCCACAGGAGTCAGGATTCATTACTTTTTTGGGCTGAGTATGCAGGTTCTCTGGCCTGATAGCGGATGGAAGCCCGTGCCTCTTATGGACATAATTGAAGGAAACGCAGTGAAAAGATCATATCAAAGGGCTCTACTCTGTCTACATCCAGATAAGCTCCAACAGAAGGGTGCCAACTTGCAACAAAAATACACTGCAGAAAAAGTTTTTGATATATTGCAGGTAACACAATATACTTTCATTTCAAAAAGTTAATTATAGATTGCATTATTAATTTTATTCATGGATGTCATGATCAATGATCTCATCTAATAATCATCCATAAGCTTCTTCTTCCTAGTTGGCGTTTGGCCTCTGCATCTTTTGTCATTTGTTAACATCCCTATGAATTCCTTATCTCATTTTCCCCTTCTACCCCCCAAATAAAACAATGTCTAAGGTTAAAATAACTGGAGAAGAAGAAGACAGAAAAGTCTGATAAAATTAGGGACCATAACTCAAACTGAAATTTCATGCACGTGGGGTGACCAGTTGATTACCCACAAGTCGTTTAAGTTGGTCGATCTCATCTTATCATATCATGCCTGGACAAAAGAATTTACATCAAGTGTCGGCCATTGTTTGGTTCAGCATAATTTCTTAGCTCTCATCTTAGGACTCCTCGTGACAAGTAAAATATCATCATGGGCCCATCTTTAGCTTCATATCAAGTCAATTTTTTGCTCTAGCATATTCTTCATTCAGGGATGATTGCTTTTGGAATATTCATAAACGTCAGCTAACCAATCTTTCTTGTGCGCTCAGGATGCATGGACTCATTTTAGCTCACTTGGATCAGTCTGATTAATGGAAGCTCAAGGCAACAATTCTCGCCCATAAAAAGGATAAAAAAAAAAAGAAAGTATGCACATCTTTTGATTCTTCATATAAGTTGAGGTAAGATTGGTCCCATATGCCTAGGCTGTATAAAATGTGATTTGGTAAACTCTTTTAAGTTTCATCTTCTCCAAGAAATAATTCACTTGTTGTACACTGAAGATGCTATGTATATTGAACAAAATTGAAGTTTGCAGTAAAATCTGTTTGTGTTTGAGTGTTACACTTACACCCATAGTTCTTTTCTAAGGGAGAACAGGAAAAAGGGAAAGATGGAATTCCAAGCAGATGCGCTTTGTCCCAATTCTGAAATTATCTTGGAATTCAAAATCTAAGTAATCATTGAAACCTGTTGTTTTGGACTGAGCAAATGGGAAGGTTGTCTTTGTTGTAAAGAATCTGTCCTCTAAAAAGAATATAAAGTTGATCTTACCTGTACTAATTCACCTGTCTGCGACAGAGCCCTCTTTTTTTTACAGCAGTCCCTTTTCTGTTCCTACTTGATATACACAACGAAAATTTAAAATTGAAATTTGCAGGTTTGTGTTTCTGTTCCTTCCAGCTCTAAATTCACCCAAAATTGGGAAGACAGTGATATTAAGTTATTTTCACAGCAAATTCCTACAATCTCACATTACACTTCACTCAATTGGTCAATTTTAAAATAAGATGATCCTCAAGTCAACGATTATTGAAATTGAAAGTCATTATTTTTCAGCCGTCAACTCTTTCCATTAAAAACTCTAATGTGTAATTTAAGTGGTCATTGTATAGGTTTTCACCCATGTTATTGTAGTTTGATTCTCTTTATCTAGTCATTGTATAGGTTTTCACCCATGTTGTTATAGTTTGATTCTCTTTATCTAGTCATTGTATAGGTTTTCACCCATGCTATTGTAGTTTGATTCTCTTTGTCCCCTGTTCCCTACCCTCAATTTCCCTAATTCAAAAAAAAAAACTCTTTCAATTAAGAGAATAAGAACAAAAATATATCTTTTTGTTTAACTTTAAACAAATATAGTAGATTATAAAATTACTAAATTTATTTTAAAATAATTATATATTTAAAATTTACAGATAATTTTTATATATTTACATTATTTTAAAAAAATAAAAATAAAAAATATAATAAAATAAATAATTAAAATAAATAAATAATACAATTAAAATAAAAATTTTTTTTTTACTTTTAAACATAAAAAAATAACAATTAATCTAAACAAACTTAAAGTAAAAAATAATAAGTATTAAAATAAACACTAACATAGTACTTATAATAAATCATTTCTCTATGTTAATCCTTTAAAGTAATATCTAAATTGAACTAGTCCTTCAAAACCAATGATCTAAACTCTTACCAAATGATGTGAAAAAATTTCATATTCCATGTAATTTCCAATGCTCCAAAAAAAAAAAAAGAAAAAAAGAAGAAGTAATGTCTAAATTATATTTTTATTATTCAGTCCAGACAAAAGTACAAGTTACTGTTAAGGGAATTCATTGTAGGAGTAGCTTTATCCATCACCAAACCCTAATGAGCTAGGTGAACATGTAAAACAGTAATTTTGATGTACTGAACTGAAGTTAGAATAGCGGGGAAATGGAATTTTGTTTTTTAACCTTTTTCTTCTCATTGATCATTATTCTTTTAGTTTGGTGTGATCGAAAAAGGCTGCAACTTTGGTGGGTTCCACCACAAAACTGGATCTGAATTTTACCATGCCCGGTCAGAGCAGCCCGACAGCATTCATGTGTGAAGTGTGATACGATTGTCGTTTTGTTCTTTTTTTTTTTTTTTTTATGGACCACTTGATGTCGGGAAATTTATTGAATTCGAATTCAAACCTTGACCGATGGTAAAATTTTTTTTCACAGATTTTAATGAAATTATATTTTTTAAATTTAAAA